CAGGTTTATAGCAACACACTGTACACTAAAAAAACAGAGCTGCTCATCACATAATCTAGAAAGACAGGATAAATTTGCTGACAGTTTGCACCCCACATTGCTCAAACACGATGAGTATTTTTGAAGAACTTTACTTTTTAGTCACTGCTTTACCACCAAACACCCATGTAGCACACAGATGTGCTGACAGGGGCATACATTTACATAGTAAAATGCAAATGTTGCCAGAATTATTAACTGCTTTAGTCTCATGACAGGTCAGCTCTTTCACCAGGTTTCTCTTTTGGGACAAGCTCTTACTCCAGTCCATCCCAACCCTGGCAGCTGTACAGGTACACAAAGTGGCCTCTTCAGTCAAAGCTGATCAGGGATACTTCTCTCCTCTTCTGCTTGTTTCATGGTCTCATCAATTTTGTAGTGGAATGATACATTATTGTTGTTGATGTTATTATTATTTTATAATATCATATTGTGGAAATGCGGACTCAAAATTAAATGGCATTTTTAAAAGCTATGAAGAGTGAAAAGTAATATAAAGAGGGGATATCACTAATCATCACTTTTCACATCAGTTATACATCACTGCTCATACTGGTTTCACTGAACAACCAGGGAACACTGTCACACACAGACAAGAATTAGGAACATTGTGTGTGTTTATTTATTTAAGAGTTGAATGGTGCAAACCTTGCATCAGAGCACAACTAGATCATCTAGAGAAGAAGGAAAAGAATATTTTGTTGAATACTTAACCATAAATAAAATGCTATGCACTTGGTCATAATTAGAAGTAATAAAGCTGCAGCAATCACTGTTGTTGTGCTTGCAAACCTTTCTTCTGAAGGCTACAGAAAAACATTACTATTTGCTTTTGAAATCAAGTGAGCAAATGAACACAGTACACACTGCACTAAACACTGTGCAATGAGGTGATCCTTCCCCAGTATTATTTTACCTAATATAGCTGGTGAAACGCCACGGTAGAGTGCAAGGAGTCCCTCTTGATGATAAATTTTGTAAAAAGCATGAACAATTCCTTCATAAGATGGCTCCAGTCGGTTCTGCACAATGAGCCGTGTTTTAATCACATCCGTGGGGTAAGTCACGATGGTTGCAACCATGCCAGCCAGGCTTCCTGCCATGATGGCTCTCCAGTGGGAAATATGACCCAACTCATCAGTAAAAAGTATAACAAGTCTCGAGTGAACACAAAGAAGAGGTACTGTTAGTGACAGTATGAACACAACACGTGAAAAATTAAGGTAGATTATTCTTGATGTAATTGTTCTTCTGCCCACAAGCCCCTTCAGCAGCAGGAGTTGAAACTTTAACATGTGTTTCATCCAAGACCTTGCTATATATAACCCCACACAAACATCAGAACCTCTGTGAAACAGAATATGTGAGTGGACAAGCATAAGCAGTCTAAAAAATGTGTCTCAGAGCCCAGAGAGAACTTGGGTAAGTCCATGCTGCACTGAAGTGCAGAAATGAAAAAGGTACAGTTAATAACAAAGTCAGGGACTGGAATATATAACTCAGCAAAAGCAATCTGCTTTGGTTTTACTGAGCTAAAATACTTTCAGTACCTGAAAGAGCTTTTTCAGAAGCAGCTTGCATAGCTCTACCTACACCACACTTCTCAGCACAGATGAAGCTCCCACAGTTTGAGCTGTGGAGCCATGCTGGAGGCCCAGAGCACCAATTCAACAATGAGAAAGACCTTCAAAGATAGAACTTGTTTGCTTCGCAAGAGACTTTTACAGTAATTTTTGACCTCAGAATCCTCATTTATATTTCCATCCACAGGATGAAAATTACCATGACTTAAAGCATGTCTGCAAGAAATCGTTTGATCATCAGAGACATCGGTACACACACCCAGGCAAAGCTATCATGTATGAAGAAATACACAGATAACATCATCACAGGCCTTCTGAGAGCAATTGAACCTTTCTCTGTTGCTTACTTTGGGACAGAAAGGTCCACAGGGATACATCACTAGAGAAGACATCTGTCATGGCACTATTATGCTCAGGAGGTTAAATCTAAATCTGAAATTTTTAAATTGAAGCACAGAGTTTTAAAGACTAACATACAACTCACACGTTTGCGACACCCAGGACTTCACAGAGCACAGAGTTTTAAAGACTAACCTACAACTCACACGTTTGTGACACCCAGGACTTTCCTGTGTACACAGTGCACTCCTACATCAGGGAGAAGTGTCACGGGGGGCGGCAAGAAGCAAGTAAAAAGATTTGAGAGGACAATCTTAGCTGGAGGTAAAGAAACTTATTATTCTATTTTAGAAGCATGAATTGCTTGAACAGCAGATTTACGTTTAAACTACACAACGTTACCACATCCAAAGTAATCTGCAAACATTTACAAGTCACTGCTTGTTCAGTTGATGTTTTCTCACATGATCGCACATTTTCTTTCTACCGCATGACAGGTCCCTGCATCTACTTGTCTCGTGCCCTGGAGACAGCCCAGCACAGAAAGACCAGCCGAGCAGAAGCGATAGGGCATAAACCTTTTCTCTTTGTGTCTTGTACAGTCCCTAACGCAACACAGCCTGATTTTCCTGTGTGTGCACAGATGCATGGGGAGGGTGCTGGGGTGTCTCTGGGCACTACCCAGGTAACACTGAAGACTGCCATGGGAAGAGGGAGTATGTGCACAGTAACCATAGAGGGAGTGCAGCCAGCTAAACCCCACTGCTGTGCCTGGGCCTGCCATTGTGCTCAGCCCAGGTCCTTCTGCAAGTGCCACTACTCTTTATTGAAGTTGCCATGTAACATTTCTCTGTGTTTTCTGCCTTTACATACACCGCTTTCCCACTAGAAAATACAGCCCCTCAAAAATCCACAAATAATATACGAACAATATGCCTAGGTGGCTTTTATTTAATTTTCTGGTAACCTACTTCCATTTGTTTTTCAAAAGAACACTCAGTGCAAACCAGAGATAAACTATAGCCTTGTGAAACTGTTTCAAGCTGAATAAAGTAAGCTATTTCGCTCAAGATCAACTGGTTTATAAACGTACATCACCCTGGCTCTTATGGGAACTTTAAATCACTGTTTCTGCCCCCCACTGCCACGATGCCCCCTCCCTCGTGTGACTACTGCACCCATTACAGGCAGGACACAACAAAGCTGCCCAGTTCCAGGGTTGCTTCATCCATCTGTCACTTCCCGAGAGGCACTGGCAGAGCGGGGAGGACAACTCCTGCTCAGGCAGATGAATGACAAACCCACAGCGTCAGCCTGGGTGGCAGCCGCAGCGCGCCGGATTGGCCAGCACAGGCTGAGACCATGCTTCTTCCCACCCAGCACGGCCCAGCATCGCCCAGCTGGGCAGAAATGTCAAGTGCATTCCGTACACACGGCTGGCCTGAATTCAAACCGAAACAAAACAAGAAGTGGCAAAACACGCTGGTGCGTGCCAACAGCCGGGCACTCCTTTCACAGACCAAAAGATACTGGCAGCAACAGGGAATCCTAGGAAACAGCACGGGCTGGCAGAGCTCAGCCAGCACTGCTCTATGTTGATCCTGCCGCATTCCTCCCAGTGTTTACCCTAATTTGCCTGTGTATTATTGAAAACAAGGTCTTAAAAGAAAATAATGCCACGTATGAACTTCAAACCAAGTCAAATTTGCATAACAGCCCCTGCATAACTGGGAAGAAGATTTAAATAATGGTTTCGTTATTTTCTTTGATACAGACAATATAAATACTTGAGAGCATATTAAAGTGTTGCAAAGAGCAGCCACCACAGTCAGTTGTAGGTAGCACTGTAACTTCATTTCTGAAGGAATCTGACAACAGACTATCTAACCACCTTTCACCTTCTGAAGAACACCTATGACTTTATAAGCAGTTGCTGACCAGGCCCTAAGAGTTGCTGCGTGCTGAATAAACTAAACACGTCATTATCCAGAGTACCTGTCCTAGGGTGAGAGCACACACAGCCAGTCAGCCAACCTTAAGACATGTAAGAGCCCCTACGGACGAAGCTCTCCGTTTTCCAACCCCTCTTCTGCAACAGACACGAAAGGCGAGAGAGCGCAGGCGGGGCCGGGCCCGAGACCCCTCGCTTACCGGCGGGAAGCGGCGAGCTGCAGCGCGCTGTAGGGGAAGAGGCGCAGGCAGGCGGTGAGGTTCCCCTTCCAGAGCGCCCGCACGCCCTCGGCCCGGCACAGGCTCGGCCCGGCGCTGCGCAGTCCCCGCCGGCAGTGCCAGGTGCCCACCTGCGCCAGCACCGTCAGCAGCTCCAGCGGCGCCGTCAGGCTGAGGCTCAGCGCTCCCGCCAGCGCGGCGCAGCCCAGGCGCTGCACGGCCGTCACCCGCGCGTCCCGCCGCCAGGTGGCCATGGCCCGCGGGCCGCGCCGCGCACCCCCAGACCGCACCGGAGCCGCTCCGCTCGGCGCGGCGGCGGCGGCTCCCGGCCCGGCCCGGCCCGGCGGGCGCGGCCAGAGCGGGGGGCGGTACCCGCAGCTCGGGTGCTGTGCGGGGAGGCCCCGCCCAGGGCGCGCTGTCTGTCTGGAGGCGGAAGGGAAAGGCGGGCGGTGCTGGCATCGCTTCGTTTGGCCCAGCGCTGCCGCCCGGGAGCGCCCCGGCCTTAGGGGCGGCTTGCAGCCGGGCACACAGCTGCCACTGGCACGGTGCTAGGGGCCGGCGAGCCTCGGGCCTGGGCCGTAGCAGCATGGAGGAGAGCCGCAGTGCTCGCTGCTCCTGCGTGTATTCAGACTCACACAGTATTACACCATCATACAATCGTAGAATGGTTTGGGTTGGAAATGACGTATTTGCTTGGTGGGAAGAAAACGGTTAATCGCCATGGAGGAGAAAAAACTGTTTAAAGGAATATTTCAAAACAGCAGTAAATGGATATAAACTTCAACAGTGAATGGGTATAAACTTCTGTATACGTTAATACTGCTTGGAAACAGAAGACTTCTAACCATAAAAGGGTGATATTTGTTCTAGGGGTTTGTGTTTCTTGCTCATCTGCACAAGACAAACCTCAAGATTCTTCCTGAGCACAGTTTTTTTCCACTCAGTCTTCCCATTTCCATTTCTCATTTTTGGCTGAGTTTTTGTGTACATGTTCTGGCTGATAAAATGAATCAGCAGATAATGTTGGCCTTCTGCGGCACAATCTAAACCATGGAAGAGATGGTGGTTGGGGTGAGTTTGCCTGTTATTTTTTCTCTTGTGTAAAGGCACCTGCCAAAATAAAACCAGTCATTAAAATGATAATAATAAACCCAATATTAAATAACAGAGTGTTACTAGCAGGAACTAAGAGTACTAAAAAATAACACTGGAAATTGCATCTTTCCTGACAGCCCAGTCAAATTTACATTGTTTATGCTCTACTTAGTTTCCTGTACCTCACAAGCTAGCACTGCAGAAACAACCAGAGCAAGTGAATCCTCTGAGGGAACTGATTTTCTTTTGCTGCTTTTGTTATTCATATAAAAATATGTTTTTATTATAGTTGGAGACTAAATGTCATTGAACATACATCTTATGCAGGTGAGTCCTTTGTACGAACTACTCTGAAATCACTTTTATTTACTAGAAGATACCTGTGCATTTCTTTATACTTTGTCTTGCATAGTTGCAGTTAATACAGAACAATGTATAGTGTCTTTAAAGTAGCTACTAGATTCCTACACTGGCATCATCCCACATTACTATATGGCTTTTAAGCACTCATGCCATCTTTTAAATGTCTCAGACACCCTTGTAAGGAGAACATCAAGTTCTGGATTGGTTTTGGTGGGGTTTTGGGGTGGGTTTTTTTTTAATCTCTGCAAGTAGTTTGGTCACTATCAATGAGTTGCTTCAGGATAATATAGTTGTGGCTAACATCAGGATCAGGCACAGCACCGAAATCTGCCACACGCTGGTTTTATTAGTAAAGTGGTGTCAGAGCTTGCTGACTCTTTAAATGTCAAATTAAATTCCATTCTGCTCTGACCCTGTCTTCCTCAAACATGTCAGTACCTAACAAGAATGTGTTTAAAGTCTCACAGGAAACTTCTGAGGTCAAGGAGGGAGAATGCACAAAGCTGTCAAAAAACCTACACTTCAGCCCATGCCATCCCCACATACAAGTTAGAAAAGCTCTAGATTTAGCACTACTCAGAGGTGTTCAGTTGCCTCTGCTTTCCAGGACATTTGTTGGAGACTTCCAGGGCAACAAAATGCTCAGGGTCCATTCCTTCACTGGTGGTGGGAGGAAAAGCCACTCCAACGAGCAGTTGCATTGTCCAATGACCAATAGTGAGAATTAGCAGATCTGCCTGTGACAACCCAGGACGTCTGCTACCAAGCCAGAAATAGAACGTTACAGTTCCTTTCCTGTGACTTAATCACAAGCCTGCCCTTCTGTACTAAGAGCAATGCACAGTGCTAGCTGGCTTTGCTGGTTTTAAAGCAGACTTTAGAAAACGGAAGCCACCAAGAAACTTCTTCAATCTCTCCGTGTCTACAACAAAGAGCTCATGCTAGAATTAATGCTGTTGACACACATTCTAACCATAGCTCAGGAATACTATAAACCAAATTATATTAAGAAGAATTGTGTATTCTGGACTTTCTTTATAAAGAAACTGCAGAATGTCCTTGCCTGTCTGGCAGGACAGCTTATGTTATGGAGATTAATTCTCCTAACAGCCAAAACCTACCAAACACCCATGTATATACAAAGTATTTGAGGTAACCTTGTTGTAGATTAAACCCACCATCGTACAGGCTGATTAGAAAGACCTGGCAGGAAAGTTAAACATAGTAAAAACAAAACAAAACAAAACAAAACACCACAAGGTACTTTTTAATATTGCCTTAATGAAATGCAAGTTGAACAGATTTTCCATGCAGCCAGCCAGTGGATGGCAGTATTCAGCCCATCATTCAGGTGTTTCCACATTCAGAAAGTGGTTGTGGAGCTAAGCTACTTCTCATTCAGTAACTGATCATATCAGCTCTAGGGAAAGAATATTTCAGCAGTGCACAGATTAGTTTCATGAGCCAAACTTGCAAAGACAGCTATCTGCAACAAGGAAGGTTGTATCATTGTTATTTATGTAACAAAACTATGCAAGTTTCCTAATGTCCCTTGGAATAGTTCTTGGTGTTCTATTGCAACGTTAAATGCAAGATGGAGGTTTGATTTTTTTCCTATAGATTGTACAATCTAAAGTAGGGAGACAATAGTTTCAATATGGAAAGTCATTTCAGCTTTTAAATTACTTGAGCAGTATGCAGCATCCAGACATAATTCCTGGAATGACATTACCGAACCACAGGCAGAACCATAGCCAAGGTTCTTACTTGCACGTACTTAAACATGCTTCATGCCCAAAGCTTCTTTCAACCCCCCTCCTCCTCAGCCTGTTCCTGAAGCTCCCAGGCAAAGCTTGTTTACATGCATGGGTTGCCAGGCTTCAAATCAAACCCAATTGACATGCAGTCAGTTATGATGGTGCAATATCTGTGTCAACACGCCTGTGAATTAAAGTTGATTTACCTCAAATCCACTTTAGTTAAATTAGAATAAACCCAGAATAAACAAATGAGCTGGTTCTGCAGAGTCCTTTGCACCAGTTTTGCCTAAACTTATTTTCGAAGACATCACATGAGTTGTGCAGGTAGGGTTTCACCTTTCCTTGCTGTTCACTTTTAAGAAGAAAGTTTTTGTAGGAGTAGAGATAATATAGGGTCTGTACAGTCTAGGTAGGTAACAGATGGGATGAAGCCTAGAAGATTGCAGGCCGCTGAGAAAAGTGAAACTATTCTGCAAGAGGGAGATGTGGGATAATTATGCCATTCAATGTCTCAGACATTGTATCTTTTGCATAAACCGAGATAGCTAATACTGGCTCAAAATTGTATCTGCAGAACAACTCTGTATTTTCTCATTGCCTGTATAAACATCCAATCCACTTCTGCAGAAAGGTGCTCAGTCTCCCATATTCTTTTTTCAGCAATGATTTCCACAGTTCATTGTGTAAAAGTGAATCAGTTCCTTCATCCACTGTGTAAAAGTGAATAATCCTTTCATCAGTTTTGGATGCAGACCTCTTAAATAATATGACATAGCACTTCTCAACATGAGAATGTTGCCAGAGTGATCTGCTTAACATCAGCTTTCCCTGTCTCCTTTGCCAGGGGAAATACAACTTGCTCATTTGCAGCATAACTCACTACTCCAGCAATGTGCTCAATCCTAAGAAAAAGGATATTCCACAATTGCAAAACACTTCAGTTTCCAGTAGTTTGCTCTCTGAAATACAGAATATATTTACATATTATTTGCTTAATCACTAGTACAAAATTGTTGGGATTTATTTCTGCAACCAAAAGGCACAGTATGAGTTTTTTTACTTCTCTGTATCGGATAGTACCTCTGGTAGCAGAGGTACCAAGGTGTGATAACATTGGGTTGGAACACATTGTGCTTAAAAAGGAAGACAGCATTCTTATGCCAGTCATAAGCCTAAGAAAATGAAACCAAAAGCCTCAAAACCACTTCACTGGCAACAAGAAAATCATAGGTATTTCTGACAAGAGTTTTAACAGAGCTCTGTACAAAAGAAAAGTTAAACTCATTGTTTGTCATTTCATTATTACAAAATAGTTCCCAATGGAAATAGAAATGGAAATGTACTTTTTGTATAACCCTTCTCATTATAGGAAAAACAAAATATTAACAGCACTGTCTCCTAAACTAGTGGGTGTGTGTCTTATCTTTTATTTCTGTACCCCACTTTCAGATATTGAAACAGCTACCTTAAACTTCTTATTGAAGAGTTAAACCATTGAAGTTTCTCAGCCTATTGCATCTTCAGAAAAACAGCAGATCCAGAGCAGATGGATATAATGACCCTGCAGCTGCAAACTGATCTCAAATTCTACTTTGCCTGTTTGGCTTTGGAAAAATATACATAAAATGGAAAACAAAAAATCCCATAACTTAGAGACAGTATCTTTCAGTTTAACCTCTTGTACCATCAAAACACAGCTTTATATTTTAAGATGAAAATTGCAAACAGATGTCAGTGTATAATAAACTCCTAGAAAACCTTCCCAATTCAAGGAGAACCAACAACTGTGGAGAAGACAACTAGATCCAAAAAAACATTTGTAGGGAAAGGCAGTATCTTTATGGTATCAACTTGTATAGTGAGAAAACACATACACGCTTTTTGCACACAAAGTTGTAACAGAAATAGTCTTGCAGACTAAAGAAACAGGTAACGATTGTTCTCAGATTGTAATTGCATACATAGCAATTAGATCACTTGAGATAAAGAGGTGCTTGGTACACACCTCTGCCGGCAGCCCCAACCTCGTGTGCATCCTACAATCATCGACCATCACAGTTACAGCCGTACTACCACAACAGGCGAAATAAGGTGTCTGTTTCTGAAGTAAAGAAGTACTGCAAAGTGTGGACAGTACCTTCTGCGGTGTGCTGGTGAGGCACTGACACCTGGAGAGCTGCTGCGCTGCAGGGAGCTGAATGCTGTACAACCAAGAGACAGATGTGCTGCATTTCCATTGCTTAAACACGTATGCTAAACCAGGGAAAAGCTGAAATTAATCCTCACACACATACTTCTCATATGAAGTAGTGGTGGATGAGCTACCTTTATTACAAGACAAACATGGTATCATGTCACCGCCTTCACCCTGCCTGAACTAGGCAACTGCTGAGGAAGTAACTGCGGTTTTCTTTACCCAACACAGTGACCACAGGCCAAAGATACCTGGTAGCAGGCAGGCTCCAGTCAAAGGTGGGCATGCAGGGCAGGAAGCCGCTGCCACCTCCTGGGGCTCCACCTTGTCCCGCTTTATGACTCGTTAGGAACACGCGAAGCGCCCACACGCCGCACAGCCGCGCCACCTGCGCCGCCCCTTCCCCGCGCTCTGGCCACTAAGAAATGGCCCCCACGGCGGCAGCGCCCCTCAGGGCTGGGGTCGAGGCGAGCAGCCGGGCCTGGCCCCGCGCCGGGCGGCGGGAGGAGAGGGCGCTGCCGAGCCGCGCCCTAGGGGCGGGTCCGTCGCCGCGCTCCGCCTCGGGGTGGCGGCGGGAAGAGCGCCGGGTGGTCGGGAGCGGTGGTGGTGGCGGCGGCGGCGGCCGGAGGGGTAAGGGGAGCCGGGCCCCTGCGGCCTGCGGGAGTGGGGTGTTGCTGGCGGAGGGCACCCGCCGCTGCTGGAGGCGCCTTAGGGCGGGTGGCCCGGCTCGGTGCCCCGCTCCTTCGGGGGAAGCAGCCGCAGCAGGAGGGTGCTGGGGGGCGCCGGGGAGCGGCCCCTGTGGGGAAGGGGCCGAGGTCGCAGGGCTGCCGGTCACCTCCCTGCCGGGCGGGCCAAGCCCGCGGCCGCTGGGGCTCCGGGGGGTGGAGCGGTTCCCGGCAGCATCCCGGAGCCCGCGGCCCTGCCGTGCTCCCCTCTTGGCTGCCGGGGCTGCGTTGGGAGGAGCGTCACCCCCTCCCTGGGCCGCGGGTTCCTGGGCCCGCGGGTTCCTGGCCTGGTCTCGGGGGTCTGGTGCCGGAGGTCGGGCCTTTTCCCCCCGAGCAGGGGGAGCGCGGCCTTTTGGCGGTGGCGTCCATTGAGATGGGGTTGGTTTGCGTTTTCTTTATCCCCACCTCAAAACGCAGCATGAAGCAGCGGCGTGAGGAGCGTTTGCTTGAAAACGCCCCTTTATTGTGATATTTGCGTGAACAGCAGCACTTCTGATCACCTGTCCTGTTCATTTAATTTTACACAGAGTAAACTGAATAAATTAGTGCTGTCTCTTGAGAAATCTGTTTAAAACTCTTGTTTAAACTTCTCCAAGTGACTCTTTATGGTAAATGCTTTTTCCCCTGTGTGGAAAGCTCTTTCTGCTGCTGTGGATCAGTACATAACACTTGCCACATTGCTGCTTGCTTGTAGGTGCTCTTGCATACCCGCCTCTGTGGAATTAAAGTATTTCCTCTGCCTTAAGCTCCCCTTTGGCTCCGCTGGTGGAGCTGCTCAGGGCTGCGCTGTGTATGAGGGCAGGTAAACAACTGCCTGAGAAGTAACCGGGCTAAATGAGATTTATTTGTGTTTTCTCCAGGTTAGATCTGTTCCCTGACCTGGCTGATGGTGTGGGCTCAGAAACAGTTGTGATGGCCCAGGGCCTGGTATGAGTGACCAGAGGGGGAACTGAAGATGGTAAGAGCTGTTTCAGCTGGTGGTACTGTGAGCAGGTGTGAGGGGCGCCTTTGGATCCAGTTATTGTCACTGTTTGCATTTTGCTCATATGTGCTACATGGTTTTCTCAAAGTGTAATTTTGTTTTGAACTATTCACTTGTGTGACATGTTTTAGGGTGTTCTAAGATAATTCAGTCAATGCAAAAAGGATCATGCAGCTATTTAGAAAAAACATTTTAGGTTTATCCTTGTGGTTTTCTTTAAGCCTACTAAAGGCTTATTGTACATTAGCAGCAGCTTGGGTTGTGGGGATGTTTAAATGATGATTGAAAGTAGCCTTAAAAGAGTCAATTTGCTGTGAATGGTGCTGATCAAATTAGTGCTGTGTGTGCATTTGGGGTTGTTTCGCCTTGGCGAGTGTTAGAATATTACAACAAAAGCTACTTGGGGGCTGAAGGAATGGCTTTCAGTGAAGGAGGGGACAGTGAGTGATCTCTCAAAGAGCTCAAGCTGTATATTTTATGTAAGAAAGGTGACTGAGAGGCACATGGATTATAACATGTAAGAGGAATACATACATACACGTACACACCAAACCTGTAAAAAAGATGTTAAAAGGATGTGAATCTGGTAGAGGAAGGCTTATGACGAAATAGTATCTGGAAGTTGCTTCCATTTCCAACAGCAAAGGAGTAAGGAATGGAACAAATTGCCTATGGCAAGTGGCAGGTTCATACTGTGCCTTCAGCCAGAGTCAGGTTCCTTTCTGGAGGAGGAGCTTCAGTTCAATACAGTTAGCACAGGCCAGAGTAAGTGATCTGATGGCCTGTTGTGGTCCTGATCAGCTTGAATCTGTTCTAAAATACTATGTTATTTTAGGCCCCTGAGATATAGGAAGTTACTGGGTTTCACAGGAATTCCTCAGCAGAGCTGGGAGTTGATCACACATCTGTGGAGTCCCAGGTCAGTACTTTGATTCCCCTTTATCCATTTAAGTAACACCCTTGTTTTGTTTTGTTTTGAGTATGTATCAGGGTTATCAGAGCAGATGATCACAGAAAAAGGCATGCAGGTGGCATGGTACAGTTCAGCCTACAGTTAGCATAGTAAACCATAGTGCAAGGGCAAGTGTGTTCTGATGTTATAACTGTGGCAGAATAGCTAAAAGGAAATAATAATTAGGTAAAGGGGTTGAATGTCAAGTTCCTGGTGGTTTGTCAGTTGGAACAGCTGACTCCAAAGTAAACAGCTTATTAGTATGTCAGGATTGATTCCAAAAGGCCATGCTGCTGAGCAGCCACCCAGTGGATCAGCCAGTAAATAATTCTGTGCTTTGTACACAGTTATGTGATGAGAAATGCATTTCTGATGCTTGAAGAGCTCCTGGCTGTGAAAAAGAGTAGGGAGGAGCAAGGATAATGGTCTGCACTGGCAAACCACTGTAGCTTACTTGGCAACATGAAGACACCTTTGGGCTTACTTTTAGGTGACTTCTTGCAGTAGTAGGAATATGGTTGCAGCCATGGTGGTGTAAGGATGTACGTGAACAAAGATTTGCAAGGGCAGGGTGATATCTGTTGTTTTGATAGAAGCTGTACTTGCAAAACAGAACAAACTTTTGGGTGGGTACACCAGCTGCAGGTTTCAGCATCAGTATCCTGGATGTTTTAACATGCTGCACCTCAGATCTTAGTGTGACAGAAAAAGTGTAGTTGATACATTACAGATAGCTTTAGGAAGCTCTTTACCTTAACTCGCGGTGGGCAGGAAGGGCTCTAGGGGCTACTCATTTTTCCAGTTTTGTAATCAGTACTCTGGGTGTAATTGCTTTGCTTATGTGAGATACTGAAAATGCATCTGTCTGCATACATGGCTGTGTTCAGAAATTAACCCGGAGATACTCAGCCTTTCCTGACAAAGTTGTGGTTAATTCTGAGTGAATTTGGCAATGGTTCCTTAACAGGGACAATTACGTGCTGCAGTCTGTGCTGTACGCTGTTGCTTCCAGTGATTACTGTTTTGTTTTTCTTCTTTCTGTTTAATTACACTAGCTTTTCCTTCAGTACATAAGTGTTGGATATTTTTTTCCTTTATCATTCTGAATAAAGTGTAGTCACCCTCTTTTACCAGACAGCTTCTTCCACTGCACTTGTCTTCCTGTGCAGATTCCTATATTGAAGGCAGACAGATATTTTTATGTAATGGCAGCATAGTTTATAACCTGTGACAACCACCTTATGGACTTTTTTCCATGTTGCTTCAGAGGAAGCTTTAATATGGCACTCCTGAAGTTCTCTATGTATATGTATCTTCTTTTTTTCTCTTTTGGTTTAGTCTGTTATTTATGTTTAAATGGTGGCTAAAAAGAAAGAAAATTACAGCATATGGACAGCATTAAAATATACTAACCTTTATTAGAAACTAGCTGCTGAGATTTTGTGGAAGAAACTGGTGCAGATGGTGGTTTGCCAACTTCTGCTCTTTTTAACTTGAAGTTAGGCCCGAGAAGTCTTTGCTAACAGGGGAAGCTGCTCTGTAAAGTTTGTTGATGCTTAAGCATGTGAGGGGGGAAAAAAACTGTTATGATTATCCTGTCTGTACTGGGTATAGGGATACTGATATATTCATGTACCTGAACTTAAGTCCTTTAATCAAAAAAGAGCATTTTACTGTTTTGATTTCCTGAAAAATTGGTGTGGGTAAGCTTAAAGTTGTAAATATTTCTGGTGTGGTTGGCAGTGAAATTGAGAGATGATCTCTGGAGCTGGTGAAGGCTCCTGGACAGATCCTTGGCTTCTGATTGTTTAACATGAAGTAGGTGCAGCAGCTGCCCTAATTATGTGGTTCTTAGCTAGTAAGGGTTACCCTTTCTTTTCTCTGTACCTTTTTGCTTGAGTATGTTGAGCGATGAACACATTTAAGTGCTATGCATAGCCTGGAATTACAAGAGAAAAGTTGCAATCTGGAAGCTTGATTTCAGCACCTAATAGTTTACCTCTGTAAGTACTTGAGAGGACCCTGGTTTGCTGTTTTTTCACAGCAGGTAATTTCTAAACTGTGACCCGAAAATGCTACCCTCTATGCTGGAAATAATGCTTCGTATTACCTATTTTTTCAGTGTGAATACACCTTGATGCAGTTTGCCTGTTTTCTTTTAGTGTGGTCACAACTGGGCATTTGAAGCCGGTTAAATGCAGTACACATCAACAGAATTTATCAATTTTTAAGCAAGAAGGCAAGGATTTGATCCAAAAGATACTGCTGTAAGAGCTGGTGAACTAGTTTTGGCAGAACTGTCTGAGTCCTGCAGACAGGAATGGTCTGCTGAACATACTGAACTTTGAGTCCCCTGAAGAGCTTGCCAGGAACATGTTTGGTATGATGTCAGATTGTGAGCTACTTATGTCACAGCATGAGGAGACATTTGGAAGCAGGGTGTTTGAGCTCGATTGCCAATTCAGTGTCCAGAAGAGGTGTTCTAGTATGTCAGGGTGGAGAGAGGTATTCTCATGAGTGCAGTAGTATTTTGGTAGCAGGCTGGGGTGTCTCATTTGCTCAGCAGGTTGTCTGTGTTTGTATAAACACATGGCAAGCTGGAATGCTAAGTCTGATTCTGCTTCTTCTGTGACAGGTGACTTTTGGTACCAGGCATTTTAGTGAAGGAGCCATAAGAAAGAGAAGCCTGGAAAAACTAAAGCTGCAAGAACAGGAGCACGTTCGGAAAAGGGGGGAAAAGACACGGGGTTGAAAGGTGAGAGTGTGTTTTCAGAGGCTGTCCCATTTTCTTGAGATTTGTTACACTATCTTATGCCAAGTAAAATCCAGGAGTGGCCACTGTAAAAAATCAGGCTTTGAGGAAATGGGAGTTGGAGAACTTGAAGTGATACTATACAGTTTTTAAATGTATTCCTGTTGGAAACAAAAGTATTATAATGATTGTGTGTGTAAGGCATCAGATGGAGGGGTCTGGCTTATGAGGAAGGTTGGACTAGGGACACCCTGAGGTCCCTTTCGGTCTGGGTTGTTCTGTGATTCTGTGGGCCTGGAGTGAGATCAGAGAGCTTTTGCTCTCAAGTTGCCCATAGGCATGATTGCTGAAGATTCTGCATGTGGGCCGTTTGTATTGCTCTATGCTGCAACACCACAAATGAATGTCTTTATGTCCTGAAGAAAAATGAGCATGATGTACATTTCTAGGTGCCTCCCAGCTGACCTGAAGGTCCAAACTTCCAAAAAATACTTTTAAACACTTTTATTGCGTGAACACTTTGTTCTTTGAATTTTCTGGAGTTTTCTGTGGTGTAGCATGTTGATTGTTTGGTAGATCTGCTTTCTCCAGGGTAAGGTTTCCAGACAGTAGTGACAGCTTGTCATGGTTTAACCCCAGCTGGCAACTAAGTCCTGCAACAGCCACTGGCTTCTTCCCCCCACAGTGTGGTGGGGGAGAGAATTGGAAGGGCAAAAAATGAGAAAACTCCTACTTGAGAAAGACAGTTTAATGGGTACAGCAAAAGCTGCACTCAGGCAAAGCCAGAGAAGGAATTCATTCATCACTTCCCATGGTCAGGCAGGTGTTCAGCCATCCCCAGAACAGCAGGGCTCTGTCACACATAACAGTGACTTGGGAAGACAAACACCATCACTCCCAATGTCCCCCCTTCTTCCTTCTCCCCCAGCTTCCCATGCTGAGCATGATGCCACATGGTCTGGGATATCCCTGGGGTCAGTCAGGGTCAGCTGTTCCACTGTGTCCCCTCCCAGGTCCTGATGCACCCCCAGCCTCCTTGCTGGTGGGGTTGGGTGAGGAGCAGAAAAGGCCTTGACCCTGTGTAAGTGCTGCTCAGCAGTAATGGACATGTAATATCTCTTAAATGGGACCCTCATGTTAATCTGTAGGGGAATTTGTTAATTTAAGAACTGCATTCAGATGATTAATTTTTAGGTGTGTCCTTGGAGACAAAAGTTGATGTGACTCTTGTCCTGGCAATGCTTATAAAGAAAACTGTAGAATACAAACCGTTTGAAGAGGCAAAGAACTTTCTAAATGTGTGCTCGCTTGGATGCATGTCATCTATGTGCCATGTTTTTTTAAGCGTGTTAATTTAACAAACAAGATTCCTTATTAGCCACATGTGGATTCTTGGTGACTGGTTGCTTATTATTAGCTCTTCAAACACCTGCATCCAATTCCCAGGATTCAGATTGTAAACCAAGTGTCATCTAAATTGTCCCATATTGATAATTACCTAGAAAAACACGTGGTGATGAAAAGAAGTTCGAGAGAGGAAAAAGAAAGCTAAGCTCAAGAGGAGAGAAGAGAGGCAGATAGATGGAGATGAGAAACATCCCCCAAAGCAGCAGAAGGTACCAGCTGAAGAACAGCAGTGGCCAGAGAATATGCCTGAATGGGAAGAAAGGAAATCCCTGCTAGCTCAGAGAAGAGTGGAGGCTGTCAGACTGCTTACAGTGCTGTTAAGCCATGTGAAAGTAAGATTATTTTAAAATGTATTTTAAATTTTGGAGGGTATTTATTAAAGCTTGAATAATTCACTAGACATTTGATGTCTTGATACTGATATGAATGCCTTGGGACTGACTGAAAACTCAGAAGGCTTGAGGGCTAAGTTTTGTGACAATCTGCTCTCAGTCTTGCCCCAAGAGCAAAGTTAGTGCATTTCCACCCAGAAACATTGCCTTTGATGCTTGTTCCAGGTCTTGTCATTACTCAAGAAAAATAGGTCTGGAAGGGCTATATCAGCTCTGTTAGACCTGATCCAGCATTACAAACAAGTTGTTTTGGGGTGGGGATGCAAACGATGGTATCACTGTTGTTTTGGTCTCAGTTCTACAAGTGACACAAAGTGACACAGATTACACCAGCTGTATTTCTGAAGGACTTTTGTGGCCGACACTAAGCTGTCAGTTTTATTTCAGTTTGATTCAGGTAACATCCTGAGAAAGTCAGCAGAGGAATGATAAAAATGTGAGTGTTTTGCACACAGATTCATGTTTGAATTTTAGTGCTCTGGGCTAAAAGTTTTAAGTGAAAACAGGTGTTTTCATTTCTCAGGGTTGCTAACATGGCTTTGTCTTCATTATTTGCAAAGAAAAATTTGCTTGCAGCTTTTAACAAGTGTATGTTTTCCTCAATTCTTAAAGATTTCTGAAAGCTTATAACTTACTAAGAGTTGAAGTCAGAGGCTACCCTTGCCATTCTACATGAGTTTAGGGCCCATAACATCTGACATTGGCCTTCTTAATGGTGAAGGTGATGTGTAAATAAACTTCTATTTTCTTGGTTTCGCAGTTGGCAAGTCAAAAAGTGGATCCTTCATGGGGCGTAAGGAAGGACGATTCCTTCTCTGAAACAGCATTAACAGACATACATCAGGAACTGATTAACTCCCATTATCATACGCACAAAGAGTTGAAACATAAGGAGGAGTTTAAGTGCCCGCTAATCCTAAAAGGTAGCAGCTTATGTAGCGAGGAAGGAGATGTGAGTAACTTCCATGCATCTACTTGTCATATAGTCAGGACGATTTTAAATGACCCTTCTCCAGCCCCACGTTCTGACGGACAGCCTGGCAGAGATGCGTGCAACTCCTTTGGCTGTGGATCTTTGCTGATTACAGTTACGCAAGACCGCAGGGTCATCCAGCCTCTCGATGGAAGGGACTGCCCAGCACTGAATGTAGCTCACACACAGACAGTGTCTGAAGACTCTTGCAAAAAGCAAAAGGTTTACGAGACTGATGAGTTCATCCATTATTTACTAAACTACTATCAGACTCCGCACTATGCACGTGTTTGCTTAGAGCCAAAAAATACTGCGCACAAGTCCTGGTGGAAGAGAGTGGTATCTGGTGGTGGTAGTGCTTTTGACATCAGCTTGAGTAGCAAACATGGTCAGCACTTCAGAGAAGTGAGTCCTGTACAAAATCTCAGCAAGAGAAATTGTAGTAGTGGTGATAATGGTAGACTGGTGATTGCTGTTGGGGAGCTTGAGTCAATGAACACAGTGTTAGAAAACAAGGCCTGTGGGGGCAGGCTTGCAAAAGAGTTGCAAGGGCAGAGGAATGACTTGCTCACTGTTGGTAACTTACCCTATGCTGAACTGAATCATTCTTTGGATTGCACTGCTGTTACTCATGATAAGGAATTCAAACAAGAAGATGGTAGTGATGAAGGTACTGTACCATACAAAATATGTAGATGTGCTTGCAAATTAAAGGATTTGTTGGAAGAGATCAGTGATCCTGACTACTTTAGAGAGGCAAGTAGCAGCTCAGTGAAGAGAACAGAAAGAAGGTGTGAAGAAATTTACAGCAATTGCAATAGAGGGTGCTTACCTGCAAGAGCTGGGGAAAGCAAATTACTGGTTTACCTTAAAAATGTAACTCTGGAAGGTCAAGAGACGGAAAGCAGCAAATGTAGCTTCTGTTCTAATTCTGTCCATCAGGGCCTGGCAAGGCAGTGTGAGCATAAGCTTAAGAAGTCGTGCAAGAGATCTAGTAGTAAATTGAGGCATGAAGGACAGAAAAGCAAGATACAGTCCAGGGAAGAGGAGAGGAATGCTCGCAAAATGAAGAAAAAGAGAAAAAAGCTTTCTTCTAATCTTTTATCTGATGAATGTGGCTTTTCAGAGACGGACAGTTGTGTGCAGCTGGAGTCGCTCAGAAAGATACAAGGAAAATGTAAGAAAATGTTGCACAAAAAAGTGAAATTCAAGACCCTTCACACCACCATGGCAGCACCAGATGTTACCCCTTGTGATGGCTCACTACTGCAGGAGACCCTCCAGAGAACAGGTGAGAAAGAGGAACACCAGAGCTAAGGTGCCTGAATATAACAGGTCTCTGGCAGGTGGGGTAACCTGCCAGTTCTTACAGTGGTGACTGGTGGTTTTAAAAAGCATTACGAAGTACAAACATGGGATAAAAAATAAAAGTGCAACTTCTCTCAAGCTAGAACACTACACATAGGTGTAGTTGAAGAGCAGCATTCATCCTATTAATGGGATAGCAAAGTGTCTGTCATGGGCAGATGCGTGGTTCTGGTGTTAATAACAACATGTGTGCTAACAATTCAACATGCTTTAGACAGCTAAAAACATTTTTGGGCAGCTCAATATGTGGTACAGCTGGGTGGGAATTACTGTCTAAAGCTACTGACTCTATATATAGGTAGTCATCTGATGTTCATTCAGGATTGCTACATTTCTGGCTATTGTTGCAGCCTTTTCACAATTTACTATGCTTTCAGTTTGTTGGCAGATACTTTACAGCTCTCTCCCCATACCCTTTCTCTCACCAACCTTTGACAAACTATTTTCAAGTAACTTTTCCATATACTTATCTACAGGAGATGAGAGGAGATTAATGTTGAGAAAAGAGATGGATGCAGATGTCAGAGGATGCCCTCTATTTCCTCTTGAGATAATTCAGACAGACCCCTGCTCAGATACTTTCTGTGGAGCAGAGCCCAGAAGAGGATGCTGAACAGCTACTATGTAACAGCTCTTAAGTTTTTATATACAAGTGGGAGAAGAAAGACCTTTGATTAAAAGGTACATGAAATAGTGGGGGGGTTTGTTGCTTAGGTGATTTCTTTGGTTAGAATATCTGACTGGTGTAGTGAGTGTCACAGAACAAGAACTTGTTTTTGCCTTTTGGGTAACAGGACCAAAACTTTCCCTAGGGCCAGACAAACTTTCATGGACCAGTTGCTAAGAATTTGAAAGGATACAGATTGAGATCTCGGGTTGTTAAACTCTGATTAAATGTAGAGAACCGTGTAAATACACGGTAAAGTTACGGTATTTCAAAATAAGGAGGAAAAGACATAGCTATATAAATCTAGAGCAAGCATATGAAGTGCCTCCTCAATCAGATTGTTAAAATGGTGGGACTGGAAGGTGTGGGTGACATTTATTCTCAATTGTGTAAAATAATAGATCCCATAAACCCACCCTGGAAAAATGCTTGTTTTCCATTCAGAATTCTAGAGGTGTTTCTGCAAGTTTGCTGGTCCCTGGGAGGAACCCAACAAGTTTCATGAGATTTCGAAGGCACACCCAGTAAGACTGCTTTTTAGTATGACTTTGCTTACAAGTAATTTCAGAGGAATTGTGAAATGTTGACGGACTTGTGCTGCATGTGGGTAAAAATGTGAAAATGCAGTCCTAGGGGCTTGAGTTATATCTCTATTTATTCAGCTGGCTATGTTTAGAAGACAGACTCTATTGCTTTTGGACAAAGTCTCTTAGCAAGACGTAGAAGACTAATTCTAAGTTAAATACGTTGATTATTTCAGCTTTCATTTTACTATGCTTTATTTATTACATGTCAGTATACTAAATTAATGTGATAATGTTGCCTTCGTTACCTAGAATCTTACCCATGTTTGTAACTTCTGCTCTAATAAATAGTAATAATAACAAGTTATACTGTAATTGTTCGTGGTAGTTAGGTTTCCCCCAGTGTTCAGTACTGGTGATTCCCACAGGCTTCTTAAGCTGGGTTTTATCAGTCTTCTCTGTTCACATGTTCAGATGTTGAGTGCCTTTTCAGGGTCATGAATGACAAATGGTTGCTGCTCAAAGTACTGTTAATCTATTACTTTTATCTAAAAAAAATGTTATTTTCTTGACAGAAATATTTTGACTATTTTGGAGAACATTTATGCTCCTCTGAAGTCTCCTTTTTAGTATTTTATACAGTTATAAGAAGACCAACTATTGTATGTTGAGTGTGTACAATGTTGCAGTTGCACTGGTGTGACATAACCAAGGGTGGTTTTTCTCTATGCAATATCTGTGGAGTGAAGATGACAAAACTCCCCCCTCTGTCAGTCTATAAGCAGTTCTGTGTCCATGGCTCCCCTGTTCCCATGAGCCAGACCTTTCCATTACATGTGAGGAAGTACTTCTTTCTCTTAGGCTGGGCAGCCTAACCGATTTCACTGGGTGTAAATTCCCAGTGCTTTATCAACATGTTGTCACAATATTCAATAACAAATACACCAGTTCTGTAATTGCTTCTGGCATTCACTTATATTGACCTGAAACTGATAAAGTGAGTCATCTCTCCAAGTCCTCATTCCTTGTAAAACTTTCATTGTAAATAAACTACATGTGCATTTTGAAGTGTGAGACACCATTGTAATCTTCATAGTGAAACAGAACTTTTTTTCCTATTTGCTTACAGGTATAGTTATTTAGAGCCTGTTTTCGGGTGGTTTACTATTAATTCCTTACATTTCCTATCAACACACTTAATTTGAGCCACATCCTTTCATATGCTGGATTGTTCAGTATAATTTAATTATCCTGAAGGCTAATCTTTAAAGATACATGTAACAGCTTGCTTTAAAACTCTTGGAATGTATAGCTTTGCCGCTTAAATTTCAGTTGTTACAGGAATAAATCACGATGTTACTCAATTGGAATGTTTAATAGGCAAAAAGATGCATTAAAAGCAGAATTTGTATAGCTCAGCAGTAGAAATGTGCAACACTGCTGGCGTAATTTGACACCTTTCAGTTTGAGCTTGGTGGGTGCTGTTGTACTGAGCTGGTGTTTCAAGAGGTTGGGGTTTTGATGGAAACACTGTTTACTCTGACATGTATGAAGTAGTGCACTAAGACTGTGGATCCTGCAATCAAACCTGACCTCTGTACAGACTAATGAAAATACTTCCTTACAGATCTAGTGAGAACCGAAGTCTTCTCAAGGGAGCTCTCTGAAGTGAGCTTTGTTATCAGAACACACGGCCTGTTGGCTGTACCTTCTGCTGAATCCTGAAGTCACAGTCCTACAGGCTGCTTTTAAAGTAGAAATACACAGTGCTCATCATTATATCAGTCCATCTGCTTGAAATACAAGAGTGCAGCAATGATGAGACAATGCCCTTAATCCAGAGATTCCAGGCAATGAATAAAAATGCCTCACCTTTTGTAAAACCTGTTACATAACTCCCAAACATTCATTACTAAGCTGCTTTTTGTTTAACTGAAACAGCATGAAGTAAGAGCCAATAAGGACGATTAAGAGCAGGTAGAGTCTCGATAAAAGGATATCTGAATTTTACAAAGCAGTTGACAGTATGACAGAACTGGTTGGACATGAGGTACTGCTCAGTTGTTCTGACTTGCCCTGGAGCTCCTCAAGTACGGCCTTGTGGCACTTAGGTAACGGATGTTCAGACGCTTCAGCAGCAGCCTCTGCTCTTAGTTGGTCATCTTGTCCTGCTTGGTTAATGATGTACAGTCTGATAAGCTACCTGGCACAGGTCTTTCTGCTTAGTCATTGCAGCTGGTCACTGCTGAGGGAAGGGATCAGGTTGCAATGAACAAAGAGCAAAAGAGAAGCTAAAACCCAGTCCTTGTCTCCAGAACACTAGAAGAAAATAAAATCTGTGAGTCACACTGCTTTTGTGACTCACTTTTTCCCCTTTCATAACAAATTCTCTTTGTTTTCTCTGAAAAATTATTGGTCTTACCAAAGTGTAAGACTTCCTTCCCAGGAGGCACAGATGCTTAACATTAAGCTTTGTCTTGTGTTACTGCTTGTTTTCTGTGTAGTTCTTATTTATTACTGTTGTTCTTTGTGATGCATCATGTTGTAACATAAAGATTAATACTTCAAGTAGCATTCAGTTCCTCAGGATATGTTATGGACTAACTTAAAGAGTCAGATGGTTGCGTCTGCTGAAGGGTAGGTTATAGCCTAGCCTAGGTCCACTATGACAGCCTTCCAAAGCTCAAGCTTTGTGCAGTGTTAACAATTACTTGGGCCTTCTTATGCCTAACTCTCTTTCTGTAACAGCAGAGCATATTATACAACATGAACACAGTCTATACTTTACAGGCATTCAGTTAGAACATACTATATGTGTTGTATAATGTAAGACACTGGAGAAAGACAAAAAACCCTTGAAACATTGGGGGAGGATTAAGTATCACATTCAGTTGCAGTAAATAAAAACAAACACCACCATTATGCAAGAGTTTTTTTATTTCCTGCCTTAAATAAAAGCACATTACTGATCTGAGGTAAACCGTTAGTAGTTTGCAAGGAGTATAAATGTCTCTAAAAGTAAAATCTCAACACAAGGGTCATGGCAAGATTTACATTAGTCTCTAGACCTCCCCTGGGTAGTTCATGCAAGTACTTTACGCAAGCCATCTGGCTCAAATGACAGCACTCTTCAGTTGAAGGCCCAGTGTAACCCAAAGAAAATGCCATGGCAGTGTTAGGACTAAGGGAAAGTTGTTTGCTCTCACCACAGATGGTCTTAGGCACTTTAGCATGTTGTGTCAACTTGTTTATGAAAGCTGCTGTTGTGCAATGCACTCTACTTCCAAACAATTTTGCCTAGTTTACACCTTCTCACTCAGGACTCGGTTTATCATTTTGTCATACTGCAAAACTGAAACAGCTTGGCCAGACAGCTGAACCAGAGAAACTAAACAGGGAGAACTACCCCAGACAGGCACCTAAGCAGAATCACCTGGACAAGAAACACAAGTGGTCAGTTTTGTACCTGATGATGATGAAGCATGTTTATATCTTCCCTTGGTCAAACCATTTACCCAGCATGTTCTGGGAGGAGACTAGGTTAGATAGTCGGAACAAACCTAGTAATTAAGCATAGATGTGAGCTAAGAGTGCAAGTAAGTTTAAAGCAATTCAAAGGTCAGGTCCCACAGGTACAGCATTGCAGGAGATTGTGCTGTTTCTTTTAATGGCAACATTCCACAGCAACAAAGGCCTCAATGCTGAAACAGCTTATACCATGTTGTTTTATTTTGTACAGGAAACTTGTATGTTGAACAGTAACATTTTTTCTGCTGGTTAAAGCTGCATGTACAAGGGCACTTGTTAATCACACCATACCAGCAAGTTGCCTTTTTTAGGCCTAGGAATCAATTGCAGCTTATCTTCCCTGTTTAAAACCATTTCATTAAAATTCACAGAAGAGTTTTAGTAAGAGGAAAAATAAATGAATAGTCCAGTTGAGTCACACTTCATGATGTACCTGTTTTTTAGTGATTTCTAGTTTACATGTAGTATCTTAACTCTTCGTAACACTTCAGATGTGCTTTAAGAGTATTAATCCATGCATCATTATGCATGACTGAATACATCAAGTATTCATCAGTATTAATTTTTTAAGTATCTAGAAGTGATTTAACGTCTCAAGCATTCTTACCTTTTTTAAAAGCAGTTCCTTCTGTAAGCTAGTGTGTAACTCCTTAAAAGCCAAATTATCTTACGTAATATTGAATTACATTGCACAACAAATGAGCATGATGCTTCATGGACAAATAAAATATAATCCTTTTTTCTAAAGGAATTACCATCCAAGACCCAGATCCCAGAGAACTAATGTGAAACAAGAGTTAGTGGAATTTGTGTTGCATATGTGAAGTTACTCTCGTGCTTGTGCCTGCAGTGCTAGGTTCTGAATTAAAATCTGGATTTCAGCTTACTCTGTGCTAAATGGTGATAGAGGAAAAACAGAAGTAGTCCTTTATTGCCAAAATTTACTTTATCAGCAGACATTTTTGTGCATACTTCAGATATGCAGGTTTAAAGGAAGACAAATCTTAGACCTTTAGTGGTTTACCACTGAATTTGAGAAGAAAACCTTTGAATAGAAACAACTCAGTGTAACTCTGGACCTTTTGTAAGCATTGCTGCTGTTGCAACTTATAAAAAGAAGTGGAATGTTACAAATGATCCTTTACAATTCAAAACCAGATTGTTCCTCGCTGCACTTTCTAGTCTTTCTTTGCATCCTTGGCATCTTTCTCTTCTTCATCAGAGTATACAGTGGGTTCCTCCCCCTCCTTCAGCAGGTTACCAACATGGTGATACTTAACTGGGGGAGAAAAAAAAAAAGAACACAAATCATTATTCTGCCCTGAACTTGCAGTTTTTTAACTCCTCTGCTTGATTCCTGAATTGACAGAATGCCTGTATTATAATAAATGGGTCTCAGTGACTTGTTCCAAACATTGGGAGAAGCAAAAAAGCCAAAATCAACTACCTGAACTGCTGTTAATGTTGATGTAAGAAACACAAAAAGTGAGTGTGTTCTCCTATTGCTTAAGCCAAAAGACGTGTAAAATGAAGGTCTCATCCAGCTAAGAAACAGAATCCTGGATTAGATTATTTCTCTTGCCAGAGTCAAAGCCATTTTTTCAACCAGTGGCATTGTTAAAATATTTAGGTTACATATTATACACAGAGGCAGGTACATGTGTGCACACGTACACAACTTTCAAGGGCTTTTATTTTGTGTAATGCATGTTGAAAATACCCAATAGCTCAGAAGATGGATCCTTTCTCCCAAAGACAGATCTATTATCCGATTATGCAGCTAAACCTCTCTCTTACTTTATATCTCTTTCTGAACATGTAAAAATGCTAAGATCATATATGTGTAAGAACTGAGAGCTATGCTATGTTGCTTATCTGTCAACTTCAACAAAGCCTCTGGCTACAGGTATTTCACACTAGTGTTGTTGTTATAATTAGTGAGAATTTAAAACAATTAATTGCCAAATTTACTAGAAACACAGTAATAAAAAGAGTACAGTTTGCTGTCAGTCCTGATGCCCAGCTCTTGAAAAGGTAGGTTTAAACATTAGTTGAGGTCAGGTATTTGGTAGCATGGTTGTTAGCACAATAAAAGAGCCATTCAGTGTGGCATGATTAAGTCTTCATTAAGACAGGAAGAGCACCAAAACAGTAGGGGCACATCAGGTCAGGACTGAGAGGTTCTAATGGCATTATGTGGAGGAAAGCTCCATTCTAGCTAGTGATAGTAAATCTTTAATACCAAACACCAGACTTAAAATAACATTTGATTTCCACTATACTACTTTCTGTATATGCAATTTCCATCACATACACATACAAACATTCATCAAGAAGAAAAACTGATATGTTTAGTTTTTGTCTTATCTCAGTAGGAATAATCCCTTTGGTGCTCACTTGCCTAAAAGGCAGCATGAGATACAGAGAAGTAATTTTTCATCAACAAGATACACAATATGAGAAAAAAAATGATGATACCAGTGGGCATGCCCCGGTACAAGGGTCAACACAGCAACTTCCACAAAACTGTGGTTTGAAATTCTCCTTTTTGAGCAAGTTGAGGCACACAATACAGAACAGCTGGAATCACCTTTTTAAAACTTTTAATACTAAGCATAGACATACAAGGCAAGTATGAAAGTGAATTTCTTCTGTTAATTTGGGAAATGACATCTCAAGTGTGCAAGTTGCCTTTTTTCCTCTGCCACTCTGTCCGTCATTAATACAATAATGACCAGGCTGCCTGCAAGCACAGAGGTGGTATTTGGTCTTCCCTGATCACCTTCTAGGGGAAAGGTCAGCTGGATACAGTTGTCTATGAATCTGATAAAGCTACCACAAGGCCATGCAGAGTCACTTATTTAGAGTAAAAGACGTTATATCAAGAGCAGAAAGGCGAAAACCCCCTAAAGTCTTCAAAACTGAAAAAAAATCCAAGAAGTAATAATTCAAATGTTTACTCTTATTTCTGAGAAGCTTCATTTCTCAGAACATTAAAATCCAATCCTCTCTATAAATGGGGTCTTAACTGTACCAAAACATGCTCTGAATTTCCAATTCCTGTCAACTTTTTGTGTGGTCTTAAAGATCATTGCCTGTGATGGAATGCTTTTGTCTCTCCCAGTGTTCTGTAAGGAGCAGAGAGGAAGAACACAGAAGGAAAACATGGCATTTCTCTTAATTCTTTTGAATAATGGTAATTCCAGTAATACTTAGCAAACTGAGGTATTAACTCAAAGTAAGTTTCTAGACTGATGCTTCCAGCTGGTAACAGCCTTTTAGCCGTTTCTTCCCTTCTTAAACACTGGTTAGTTACTTCTTTGTAAATTGGTTTAAAATTGCTTACAAGTGAATTGTGACTCCCAGTCCCTCAAGGTCTCTTGCTGTGTAGCGTTGAGATCAGAGAGGTCATCATAGTCATCTCTCAGAGCCTCCTTATCCAGGCAGAAAGTGGCGAGACCTCGGGATGCATCTCTTCCAGCAAAAATCCCATACGGGCCCTCTTTAAAACAGAATCAGAAGCAGCATTATTAGAGGCAATAGATGCTGTGTGACCACAGATCAGAGTCCCCAGCTTCAAACAGATGATGAGCTCCTACCCTGACCTGTGGGTGAGAGATGCCTCAATTTTCTGACATGTTTTAAAGTTTTATTCTACTTGGTAATGAAGGAAAACAGAGCCACAGAATGGTGTGTGGTACATACAAACAAGGTAAGAATAAGTACACAAATTAGGAAGTATAGCCTCAGAAAGAAGAACAGAGGAAGATTTGTAAAGTCTGAGGTGAAATGGAAGTTTTCTAAGAGATGCTCCTGACTTAAAGAGCTGAAAGGATGACTTGACAGAAAATATGGGAGATGATAGAAATTATCAACTTGGAACATCTAGTAAAACTTTCAAAATGCAAGATGAACTCAAATGACCAAAACATGCAACTCGCAGTAAATGAGAGCTATCAAGGCAGACTCTTGCTAAACTTCATTAAAGATTAACTTGCTTGCATGACAAGCTGAAAATTGAGATATCACATGTTGCAACTAGACATTGAAAGTTCTTTTTCAGGGAGCTTAAGTTGTTAACTCGGGTTACTGTAGAGAGCATGACATCTCCCACACCTCCCCAAGCGAGCTTCTTCCCATACTCATCAAAAGACTTTTACTGCTTTATTAAAATGAAAATCAAATACTGCTTTATTAAAATGAAAATCAAATTGGGCAGACACTGTGATGAACCATTCAGCAATTATCAAATTGCAGGCAGCTTTTACTATTGTTAAAGAAGGTGGCATCCAAAGCATGGTCCTGAAGTGGTTTTTAATTTGCACAAATACAAAACAGCACATCTAACTCAGCCTGACTGCTGCAGAATGCAAAGTTACAGTCAAGCACCACTCAGTGACAGTCTCCAGCCCATGTCTGGACCAAAAGTAATAATCTCATCATGCTTCCAAATATGAGTCTCCTGCACTATTCTCCTTTTCTCTGAGTAATGCTGGCAGCTCACTATAGCAGCTACCAGCTCTGGACAGCTCAGGAGTAGTTATGCCTGACAGATCCTGGTACACGTTATAAAGTCCCAGTGAGACTTTTAACACGAGGCCTCTGTTACAAAGAAAACCCCATGTCCTAGCGGAGGTGATAAAACTGTCCCCTGGGTGCACACAGTCCAGCCACCTCATCGCTAGCTGTTCTGCAAGCCCTTGCATAGCTTACTCAATCTTTGCAAGCTTCAACCGCCTGCACTCCTGATAAGAAGCTGGTTTAATCTAAATTGCTGGGTATTTAGTATAAATATTATGCAAAAGGGTGATGTCCACTAAAAGTTGGAAATGGAATGTAAACACTGAGAAAACACTGCTTCTGCTGCCCTGCAGCAGGCAAAGGCACCCGAGAGTGATGAAGCCACCCAGCCCAACAGCGGCACAACCCACCCTGGGAAAATAAGAGAATCATGAACAGACGTGGGCTGGCAAAGCCGGCACTTCCACAACAGCGGGGCCCGGCTCCGGAGCCAGGCAACAGCAGTAATCCTGCCCTCCGCCCCACCGGGCAGGCAGGCAGGCAGCTCTCGCAGCGCTGCTGTTGCGTGATCCTGTCACAGACGAGCTGCGCACACCCTTCCCAGCTCCAAGAAAGGGATCCCTTCCAGATCTCCGGATCGTGAGCAGGGCCGAGAGGGCGCGGGCACCTTCGCCCAGCGTTCACCCCGCAGGGCAGGCGGCAGGCCAGGCACTAGTGCGGAGGCCGCCGATCCCTGAGCCGCCAGCCCCGGGCCCGGCCCTGCCCGAAGGGCCTGTGCGGCGGCCACGCCGCCGAGGCCCCCCGTGATCCCTACGTGCACAAAGAGCCGCGGGCTCCCGGGCTGGGCCCGGCCCGCCGCCCTCACCGGGCCCGTAGAACTTCCTGGCACGGGTCACGTCGAAGACTTTGCCGTTGATGGCCATGAGGATGCGGGGGTCGCGCACCCCGTCGTAGAGCCGCAGCTGCTCCAGCGTGAAGTCACGGCGCTTCATCTTGGGCAGCGGCGGCGGGTCCGCCTCGCCCGCCTGCGCCGCGGGCTGCTCTCCCCGCAGGATCCGGTAGAGCAGGAAGAGGCAGAGGCTCAGCAGGGTCAGGTTGAGCGGGGAGCTCACGATCTCCAGCAGCAGGCCGCCCCCCTCGGCGGCCGCCGCCGCCGCCTCCTCGCCGGCCACCGCCAGCTCCTCGCGGGCCATCACGCTCGCCTGCGTTCCGGCACGGCGGGCTCTGAGTCGCGGTGCAGCTGCGGGGAGGGAGGAGGAGCCGGCCCGCTGAGGGGCAGGAGAAGGGCGGTGCTGAGGACGGGTTGAGGCGTGGTTGCCGCCTTCAGTGAGGGGGCCTCAGAACCGGATAGTTTTTGACGCGGCTCCGGCACTAGGTGGTGGTGTGCGGCAGGCGATGGCGAGAGCAGCTCGAGTAGCCCGCGACCCTGCGAGGAACGATGTGCAGCTGAGGCGAGGACGGCTCCGCGGAGGGTGCCGCCGGCCGCCATTCCTTCGCGCGGCTGCAGCAGGTCAGCTCGGGTCGGGCCGGGTAGGGTCAGGGCGCTGCGGTGGCCGCTCCGTGCCGCATGGTCTGACAGAAATTTTGGTCACAATAACCTCGGAGTTGCGTTAGCCGAGTGCTGGAGCCGGTGCTGGCCTGCTGGGACCCGGCCGGTCCCTCCCCGCAATCCATCCTGTGCGAGCCGTTGCTTTCCTGACGGAACAGCACCTTTTTGGTGTGATCGTGCCCAGCTCGAAGTAGGACAGAAGGGAGGAAATTGCCAGAGTTCTGAGGTTTTCCCATTCAGGTTCATACCCCCTGTACCCCAAAGCCACAGAAGCAGCGAGCACAAGGCACTGTTATAACATGAAGGAGTGTCCAGTTGTGGACCTCTCTATTCAGGCTTCTGTTCAGTGGAAATTTTGGTGAAGTAGAACTTAAGATGAAGGAAGTATTAACCTGATGTATCTACTGAATATGGTGTTTACATAGAGCAACTGGAGTGCTCAATACAGCTAAGTGCTACTGCTGTTGCCTACTCCTTGGTATCAGGTGTGAGAAGGCAGAAGTGATGTTTTGGGTCTGAGTAGTTGTCTCTACAAATTGTGTCCTTGCCATCCTTCAGAAAGAGCCCAAATCAGTGTCCAGTCAGAGTATCATCAATTCCTCCACATAAGCGGGTGGTATCATTCAGGGTGTACATGCAGCAGAAATACAGTGTACTAGCCTAGAGCTTGGAGTGTAGCTTGGCAGGTGGTTCGTATCCCTGCTTTAATGGATGAAGGCTGCTTTTACTGAACCTGTCATTGGGACATTTAGTTAAATAAAATTGAAGTAAGTGAGTTTAATTTAATTTCTAATTCTCAGAAGCTTTTAACTCGGTGACCCACTGGGCTACTGATTAGAAGTTTTGTCTTTTGCGATACACTCAAGACCTCTCAGTACTAAAGTACTTAAACAAGTTGGCTCTTGCAAGATAGGGTGTTTGAATCCACCTGCTGTCTTGATTTGATAAGCTCATTGTCTTACTGATCTGCACTTGGACCTTGATCTGCCCTTCCACGGTATACACTGACTTTTGCTTCTACCTGCTGTGTAACTTGGAAATCTCATTGTTTCGTTGCCCTGGTGACTAAAATATGTATCTTGTAATAAAGTAGGTCTGTGTTTTGGTCCTGTTTAGGATAGCAGATAAATCTCTGAAACTTTAGAAGTACTCCATCTAGGAGAATTATTACCTGCATGACAGTTAATTCTGCTCAGTGTAGACATGACAGTTACACATTGTTGTGTTGATATTACCTGTTAGAGGAATAGGTATAGAAAAAAAACAGAAATTTGAAAGGATTTTTTTTCTTTTTTTTTTATAATGCATTTTGTTTAAGAGAGAAGAAAAAAAAAAAAACACACCAAACTCCAGAACAACCCCAACCCTGAATGTGACCATGAACCAGACTCCAAAGGGAGGGTAAAAGCAGCTCTGTTTATGCCTAGTATCCTAGTGAGGTCATCCAAGAACAGTTCATTCTTAGATAAGGAAGGGCCAGGAAATATTGCCAAGATTAATGGAATCTCCAGTTATCTGCCCCACGAGCACTGGTACTGCAAGTGACAGTTGCCCAGCTTCAATCTCTCCTTTTTTTTTTTTTTTACCTTGCAGCATATAAAAAAATATTCATATACCTCAGAATGGATCTTTCTTAAGAGATAATAAAAACAGGCATTTATAAATAAATGGGGATAAATAACATTATGGTAAATGAGTCTGAATGATCTAAATTTATGAACCCTGTGTTATATATTTCTTGCTAGCGAGTTTACTTGGCAATTCCTTCCAAGAGAACTGAGGTTCTACTCAGAATGGAGTTGGCCCCAATTCTAGTTAAATACCACAGGCATTAGCTATTGTCCCAGACAGGTTTTCCTTTCCATTCTGTAGGCAACAATAGTTTCCTCCTTGAAACCATTCTGTTAACAACATCTATAAGATGAGTTGATAAAGCAGTTTCAATATTATGCTCACTTCTTACTAATTGAAGAAAGCATTTGAGCTCAGAGAACTTTCATATCCTTGCAAATAAGAGTAGTTAAGTTTTAAAATATTCCTCCTTGTGTTTTTGATAAACAGCATCTGTTAGGAGATGGAGCAAAATTAGCTGTACTACACCTCAGCATTCTTACTGCTTTATTTCACTTTGGAACTTGTCTGATAGTTTTAATGAATATTTTAGAGCATATTTAATGCTTCTAAACCAAGTGTGCTTTGCCTACCTTCCCCATGACCTTGGCTGCATACACGGGAACCCCATTGTTGCCAAGTCGGTTTGGTCCTTGCATTCTTTCATTGTTCCTTTGGAAGACCTCCACAGGAATTCTTTTTCTCTAAGCTATCCGATTGACAATTTTAATTCATCTAGTCCTCAGATCAAAAGCATAGACCATCTTTCTGCTGGACCCCTTCTTTAGTTTTTATTTCCATCTCCATCACATTCCTATTTATTTTTCAGTTGCATCTTTTGACTTTCTATCTGTGCTAAGTGTGAGAAGAAAGAACTTTGCAATGTGAAGATGACACCATGCCAAAGGCAATCAAGATCCTGTCATTCCTGGAGATAAATGTGTAAACATCTGCAGCATAAAACAGCTCCAGATGGGAAGTTTTACCAAGTGTTAGAAAATGTGTCAGTGCAGGGGTTGGAAAGGCAGAGGCTGCTCATGCTGGAGAGCTGCTTTTCTCAGAAACATACTGATGTGAGTTTGCAACTAAAATCCCCCCCTCCCCCCCAGCCTCATCTTCCCCTTTGCTTACTTGTCTTCTAGGCTGCCAGGACTATGGATTTTGATCCAGTGATGCCAAAAAGGACTGACAGTTGCTGTGAGAAAGCTTGCTCGGGCAATGTGTACAGCAACTACACTAGGAAGTTTTGGAGATGTCTTTTAACTACAAATGAAAATCTGGGTGTGAATTCTCAGTATGGGCTCTGGTTTTGAAAGGCAGCAGATGTCAGAACCAGTCTGGACAAGCTGTAGATACTTCTGGAAGAGGCAAGGGAAAAAAAAAAACCCAAAACATAAGTCTGCCTGTGGTTCTTGCGATGTGACAGTCTCAGTATCCCTGGAAAGCATGCTGGTTGACACTGGAAGAGTAAGTAAAATTCCTGGCTTCCTGAAAATAACAACTTGGATTTGCTTAGAGGTCTGATGAGCCAGGAGGGGTATATGTACCAAAAATAACTGATGACACGAAGGAAACTTGGTGCATTCACAGATTGAGCCAACTCAGTAGTCCTGTTAGGGAGAAGAGGAGATGTGATCTCTGCTCCCTTGGTGTCTGATAGGGAAATGGTGTCCATTGCACGTACCGGTGTGCTTCACAAGGACCGGTTTTACTTACGGCGCCGTTCGCCCGCTCTCACGAGGAAAACTCCCCCCCACCAAGCCCGGTGCGAGGGAGGTGGGGCCTGCTACCTGGTGCGCGAGACCCGGTGACCGGAGTGCGCTCTGGGCGGCGCCGCCCGGGGGCGGTGGGTGCGGAGCAGCGCGGGGCGCTCGGGCGGCGGCCGGTGAGTGGCGGGGTCGGGGAATGACGGACGCGGTGACGAGGCGCGGCTCCGTACCCGCCGGCGGCAGCGGGAGGGCTCCTGCCCGGTGCTCCCGCCCTGCCTTGCCCCTCGGAGCGGGGCCGCGGCGGCGAGAGGTGGGGTTTGGCGGCCGTGGGATAACGCGGATGGGCGTTTCGTGGCGTACGCGAGCGGCGTGAGCTTTCAGTGATGCTCCCTTTGTTCACATGCTCTATTCAGCGGTTGCTGGCCGAGATCTCCTTACTGCTCCCGCGAGTGTGGGGTCTGTCGGGCATCCTTAACTCACAGCCTTGCCGTCTTTCAGTGACATCTCTGCAGTGTGTGCCCTGGAACAGTTTTAACCGATGTTGGTTAGCTGGAGTAGTCACGGTTATTGATACGAGCTGGACTTTGTTTCTTGCATCGTTAGTGGAGTTGCTGGCTGTGTCCCAGGTGCAGAGTATTAAGGCTGGTGTTGGGGTCTGGAGAGTCCATGAGTTCTCGGAGCACGTATGGAATAGAGACATTAGAGAAGTAGTAGGGTCTTGTAAAGGGGAGAGATCTGATCCATAACCTGTAGTGGAATGAAAACACCCACTATGTCTTTTCTTTCACGATTATTTTCTGATAAACTCCATAGTTTAAGAGCTTGATCTTACAAACAACTGTATGCAGGGGTAAAGCCTTAAGCACGTAACGACTTTGAATTTCCAGTTGTAATTATCCTTTGTGCAAGTAGGAGTGGCTCACGTGAGGTCAAATCCTTTCATCAAGGTAAAAAGCTGCAGGCAGGGTATGAGCACAGAATATCCTACAGAATGTCGCTGTAAATCTTTTACACTTTGTGTTGTCCTTCTAGTATTTGGAGGAAACTGGAGGAGGTTGCAGGTAACTTGAAGTATACTTTTAGGAGCCTTCAAGAGGGAAAGGTAGGTTTGATGGCATTATCTTTTATATCTTCATGAATGTAAGTTCTCTATTTCTTTTTCTGTCACACAAAATAATAAATTATAATTAGGGCTCCAGTACCTTTGCAGGTAGATATGAGAAATACAAATACATATTTATCTTGCTGTTATAAAACAAATACAATGAAAAATTAATCCAGTGATTTCATGGGTATGGAATCACTTTCTGCACTCTTTGGCTGATCAGTTGTTTATAGTCTGGTCTTCTTGCTATATAATGTATGGACCAGTACATTGCTAGTGCTT